CCTGGCGGCGGAGCGCGGGCATGGCGCCGGCACCTTCTGCTCGCGCCGGGGGCACCGGCAGGCCCTTCTGAAATGGCCTTTGTTCTGCAAGTCAGACACGTGCCTGACTTCACCTTGGAAGTCTCTCCTGCTAAAGCATTTTGGTGTTCTGGGTTTTTTTTGTTTTTTTTTTTTAAAAGATCACTATAATTTCCATGTAACTACACCGAATCTGTGTTTTGTATTTTTGGATAATGAAGCAGCAGAAAAAGTTGGGGTCAGTAGCTGGAGAGTTACTGTGTTGCTTCTCTTGCAAAGTCTCTCGCTGGGAGCGCTGGCCGGTCAGGGAGGCACAGGTGCTTTGAGTCAAGGGCTTGTTGGGTCCTGCGTGAGGATTCCCGACGCCCACCGCGCCAGGAGGGCGCAGAGCCGGGCCGCGGCGCAGCAGGTGCCTGCTTGCCAGCACTGTGTGGGCTGCTGCGTGCAGGGTCCACTAAGCCCCTTCTTTCCTGCGTAAAGCGGGGACGCTCGCTGATAAGGTTTGTGAAGTTTCTTTTTTATGACTTTTTATTTTTACATGTCTGTGCACTTTTTCCCGAAGGGACTTCCTGTTAGATTTTGGGGGTGAAGGGGGTTGTATACTATGCCCAGTGACCTTGAACATAGACTTGCATCCCTTCACTTCCACATGGGCTAGATTTTAAAGGCAGCTGCACCAGCTGGAGTGACCCATCTGGAGGGCCCAGGCCACGAGGAAGCGATGAGAGCCCTGGGCGTCCAGAGCGGGGCTGTGTTTTAGGGCAGAGACGCTGGAAGCTGGGGGGCGGGAGGGGGGTATTGGGTGTTTGACTCACCTTTAAAATGTTGATTTTGCGGTCACCAAACAGGAAAGCTTTTGAGAAAATTCCTTCCCAAATTTGACGCTTTAGATTTTCTTGTGTAACATGGTTTCTTCATTCGGTCAGAAATTCGGTATTTAATTTGTAACTTTTTTTTTTCTTTGAGAAATCAAAATAGGCCTTCCAGAGTGCTGAGAGACATCTGTTTCTATTCACGTAAATAAGTTAGCTTTTCTGCAAGTTACGTTAGTAGGTTGATTATTTATGGTGGACACGTGGGTGCCGCTTCTAGTCCTACCGGAAGCAGCCGCAGGAACCCCTGAGGGAACACACAGTGCGCTCGTTTACTCGGGGCGCTTAGTTTCACGGCGCCCTGGGGCCGTGGCCGCCCCTACACCTGCAGCTCTGCTGCTCCTGTCCTGGGCAGTCCCGGGGCCGGTCCTGGGCCGTGTGTAGGTGCCAGCCCTGCGCCAGAGCTTGACCGGCTCGCTCGTCATGAGACCTTGCTCTCATTAGCTTTGTAGGTAAGTAGGGGCCTCAATGCACTTCTCGAAGGGAACTTTTCTGACGGGGGCTGACCTGCCCTTGACGGATTCGGGGAGCTTTTTCCCTGTTCGCCATGGAAACCAGAGCCCTTTTCTGAGAAGCAGAGGAGACCGCGCGATGAGGTTAGTTTCACTTCGGTGGCAGTAGGCCTGGCCCCAGGGTCCTCGGGACGCCCTTTGTCTGCTGGAACCCCGAGGCCCCCGCAGCCCCTGAACAGGGTCCCAAGGGAACGAGGCCCCGCCCTTTTCCAGGAGGGGGACGTCCGGAGGAGGCCAGCCACCCTGTGCCCTTGGCACGTCCTCGTTTCCCTCGCCCGGGGAGCTGCCCTGGCGTTTGCTCCCTGAGAAGCCCCGTGGTTGTTGCCCCAACGCTTTTTCTTGAGTGTTTCCTACTTTGTATCCACAACGTCCTCTGAGAGCCGCGGCTGCCCCTCGTTTTCAGCAGAGGGGTGGCGCGTCGTCCCCTTTTGCCGGGGACTAGGGTTCCCGTTTCTGAGCTGTTTCCCCAGACACGAGGCCGCTTCTCCTGATTCCGTGCCCTTCTGTTGCTGTAGTAACTCCCAAGTGTGAACTGAATCTCGATGCCTGTTCTCGTTTCTTGCAAAACATCAGATCTTTCTTCTCCGGTGTTTTCTGGCTACCAGGTGTCTGCTCGTTAAGGCAGGTAGAAAATAATAAAGGCGGACTCTTCTGAAAACATTGTTTAAAACTAATGTTCTTGTTTTGGGAACAGGCCATATTTGATACAGAAGGGGCTAGAAATTGACAAATACCAAATTAACTGCCGACACCTGAGGATTCTCTTGAACGCCGAGGGGTTTCAGGTGAGGGGTGCCGTGCGCGCCACGTGGGGCTCGGGCTGCTAGTGTAAGTGGGATTCAGGCTGTGTTTATCTCATCTTCCCCCCACACACACCTGTGTGGGATTTAGTTGTTGGCTCTTTCTTGAATGTTCGGTCGGACGGGCAGGACGGTGTCCCAGTTACAGCTGCTCGGGCTGGGCCAGGAACCTGAACGGCAGACGCCGTGGGCGCCGAGCCCGCTGCCACGCAGGGCGTCCCTGCGAAAGCGCCGTCGGGGTGGGAGTGGGGAGGGGAGGCCGCCCTGGAAGCCGCCCTTCGGGGAGCCAGGGCTCGCCGGCGGGGGCGGGGCAAGGGGTGGCGGTGGGGAGCGTGGCTTGCTGCTCCCTCTGCCGCCCCGCCCGCCTCCACGGCCACACGCAGGTCGGCGGCCGTGGCAGGAGGAGCTGGCCAGCAGCCAGGCCCCGTCCTGGAGACGTCTCGGGCCGCCCCAGCGGCTGCAGCGTGGCTGGGGGCCGGTCATTGGGAAGCGCTCCCCAGTGTGGAGTGTCCCCCCCCCCCCCACTACCTGCAGTGCTTCTGCAGGCGGCCCGGTGCCGCTTCCTTGCGGCCCTGGCGCACCCCCCGCCCACGCGCGCCCCTGCTCTGCAGACGGCCCTCTTCCCTCACCCCAGGGCCTCAGACCCCACGGTCACTGCCGTGACACACCTTTTGGTCACACTGTTGTCGTCTCCTCTGGAACCAGAGTCCTTTGTCCTTCCATCCCTCTGTCTCCCTTGTCCTTTCCTTTCGTTTTCAGAGGACTGAGGACAAGAATTACCCTCACCTTCGCTCCACTGCCTCTGCAAATGCTGCTTCCCTCCGTGTCGCTGCGGAGGGCGGGGGTGGGGTGGGGGGAGGCCGTGCGGGCCGGTGCCGCAGCTGCAGCCGGGACAGCACGCGGGGTCACGGCTCCGCGCCGGGTCCTGGGCCCCGCGCCTCTCGCAGGAGAGCAGCACCCGGCTGGCCTTCCGGTTGTGCCTCTTCCACTCAGGAGGGAAGGAGAAGAGGCACCGAGAACCGGTGGGTTTACCGGTGGGTTTACCAGCGGGTCTCGGAGCGACCACAGGCCGGCACGGCGAAGCCAGGCCTGCCACACAGCGAAGGGGAGCCCTGACCGGGGTTGAGTCGGTTATTTTTTTACGTTTGTTCCACTACAATAAAAACTTGTTAAAAGAGTGTGTGAGCGGGGAATGCGTTTTCTTCCGTCCGGCTCCTGTAATCACTGGATCAGCGTTTCGGGGGCGGCGGCGGCGTGCTGGTGCGTGTGAGCTGCCGCCACGGGGCAGGGGGCCGCACGTGGCGGCCCCCAGCTCTCGCCCCTGGACATCCGGGGCTGGCGGGCTCCTAAGGATAGGCGTGTGTGCGCAAGGTGCGCCTGGCGCTCCAGCGCTGGGATGCACGTCTGGTTAGGGCTGCGGTTTTAAAGCCACATCCAGGAAGGTCCTCTTTAGGGAGAGATGAGGGGATGTCAAGCGTGTGGGGTCGCGTGTACGACCGTGGGCCGAGCAGAGCGCACGCTGCCTGGGAGGAGGACCGTCTGCGTGCACGTGGGCGCACGTGTGGGTCACACATGCTGCATGCGTTCCGCGGCCTGGCGCGCGCCTCAGCACCGGGACAGCACCCCGATGTCCGTGAAGGCGGCAGCGGCTCACGGGTCTTTCTGAGCCCCTGTTCTCAGGGCGTCAGCCTTACCCTCCTGGTCGTGGTCGAGTATGATCATGCACCCTCAGCACATAACTGCTCGGAGCTCCTCGCTGTCCTTCCTGCGCATGTCTGATGACGAGTTCGTGGCGTGCGCTCCTAAGGCAGCTCTGTGTGCGTGGGACCTGGGGACTTGCAAGAATGCGGCCGGGCAGCGGTTAGGGGCTGGGGGGCCGTGCTGGGGGGGACGTCCCTGTGCGGGCTGGTGGTTGGGGAGGGTGCTGGCCAGGCTCGCTTCTCGATGCCGGGAGTGGGGGGGGGGTTGCACGTACTTCCTTGGGGGGTCCATCCACCTGGCAGGCGAAACACCCTCATGAATAAAGTCAGCAGTGGCACCAAAGGACCCGTAACAGGCTCCGGGTCCTGCCCCCTTGGGGCCAGCAGGGAAGCAGCTCATCTCGGCCGTGACCTGCCGGCACGTCGCCTCCACCTGGGCCAGGACGCGGCCCACGTGCACCCAGGCAGGACCCTCGGGCGCAGAGAGCTGGGGCCGTGTCCAGGGTGTCTCCCCGGAAGGGTGCAGATGAGTGGCGTGCCTCTGCAGGAGACTTCTGATGTTGAGGTTTTGGACTTGATCTTGGAGCTACGAGACAGAGTCCAAGGGACCGTTTCGGGGTCAGGCCAGGCTGACGTGGCATGGTTTCCGAGGCAGCCGGGGTCCCCGGGGCAGCCGGCGTGGCCGGGGGGCGCGTCTCGGTCTCCCCACACCCCTCACCGCGAACGGTGGGCGCAACAGTGCGGCTCTCCCAGGCCCCCCATGGTGCCTGCCTTCCGGGGTTCTGTTTGAGCCGGGGGGGCCCTCACGCTGTTTGAAAGAAGTGTTCCTCCTGGTGTTTGCTGAGACCTGTCCTCCGTTAACTAGCGCCTGTGTGGTTACAGCCAAGTAGGTAGACAGCTGTGTGATTTCCTCGGTGGTCTCCTGAGTCCTTTAAACCCGCTGAGAAAAGAAGCCCCGCCCAGGTATCGCCACTGCCCCGGGGTCTGGCCGGCCCCGCCCAGGGGCTCCGGGCAGCTGTGGGCCAGGCCTGGGTGCTTCTCGCCCTTGTTCTGTTCTGATGAGAGATGGTAACTTCCCGTTTCACATTTGATCCTCAGGGGCAAAGCCACACGGCCACTGCTTTCCCGAAGACGCGGCTTCTCCCGTGTTCTCCAACAGTCACCGCCTCAGAGACACCCCGTTGGAGCGAGACCCCGGCAGGCCCTGCGCGGAAGCCGCAGCCTCTGTGTCCGCCCGTGAGGACCACGGCAGAGCGCCGGCCCGGAGGCCGGAGCCCCCGCGGTTTTCTGTGGACTTGAAGATGCCGGCGTGTCACCTCACGCAGGAGGCCGCCGGCTCCAGGGACAGCGCAGATGGCTCTTCCCACGCGGATCAGACTTGCGCGGAAGGGGCCCCCTGGCGGCGCTCGTCCGAGAGCCCGGCCGGCCGCCCGAGGGAGAAGCCATGCGGTTTGCACAGTAAGGAGCGTGCGGGGCGGGGCGCGAGGGCGCTGGCCCCCGACCTGGCCCCGCTGGACCTCAGCGAGCGGTCGACCCGGGACGACCGCAGCCACAAGGAGCTGGCGGCCTCGCTGCAGGCCGCGCTGGCCGTCCACCCCTGTCCTTACTGCAGCCACAAGTCCTACTACCCTGAGGTCCTGTGGATGCACAAGCGCATCTGGCACCGTGTCAGCTGCAGCGCCGTGGCCCCGCAGTGGACGCAGCCCAATGGGCACAGAAGCATCAGGAACAACTTGGTTTTCCTTGTCCGCAGCGGGCGCACGGGCCCCCCGCCCGCCCTGGGGGGCAAAGAGTGCCAGCCTCTGCCCATCGCCCGGTTCACGCGCACCCAGGTGCCGGGTGGGGCGCCCGGGGCCAAAGGCAGCGCCCTGCCGCTGGGCGGGACTGCGAAGGCCGCCGGCGCGTCCAAGAGCCGGGAGGGCCATCCCGGGGGCCCCTGTGCGCCCTGGGCGGCCGGCTCCGAGGGGCCTCGGCAGACCAAGCCCGGCCACGGCCCCGAGCCGCACGGGGCCCCGGCCCAGCCGCCCCCGCCGAGGCCGAAGCGGGAGGCCAGCCCCAGACCGGCGCCCGGGGCCGGTGGCGGCCTCAGCAGGAGCACCACCCCCACGCCCACTGTCATCGCCCGGGCCGGCTCCCAGCCGCCGGCCACCAGCAGGCTGGGGGACAAGTATGTCGTCCCCCCAGGGGGGGCCGGCCTGGGCCCCCCCAGCAAGCACAGCGCCCCGGACCCAGTGAAAGCCAAATCGAGCCCTCAGGCTCAGGGCCCGCCGCACGGGAAAGGCGACGGGGGCCCCCCTCTACCTCCCCGAGAGCCCCCCTCCAAGGCCGGCCCGGGCCCCAGGGGCAACACGGCCCCGCCGGCCCCACCCGCCGCCAAGCAGGAGCCGGCCTGCGAGGGCCCCGAGAAGCGCCTGGACATCCTCAGCATCTTTAGGACCTACATTCCAAAGGACCTCGCCAGCCTCTGCCAGGGCTGGGGCGCCGCCGGCCCCGCGCTGGGCCACCGAGGTAAGCCGCCGCCCGCCCGCAGTGCTCACGTGGAAACCCGCGCGGACGCCGGTGGGAGCAGGCACCTCGATGGCCCTTTCCTTCTTGGTCATCGTAGGCAGAGTTTCCATAGATGTTCACTGTCCCTTGTTTTATTTTGTACATTTAGATTAAAAAAGTCCGTATCAGTACGTCCTCCTGCATTTGTAGCAAAGCCTCCTAGACTGGGGACATACCACGTGAGGTTTGGGGAACCGGCTCTGGCTAGTTCTTGAAAAGACCCACCTCGCGTGGTGGTTTCCATCCCTGCCAGAGCTGCGGCCTCGACGCCTGGCTGTTACCGGGGAGGAGACAGCCGGCCCCCATGCGGTCCGTGGGGCGCGCTGCCCAGGCGCCCAGCAGAACCCGAGTGGTCCCGATGAGTGGCCAGACCCCCGGAGCCGTGCCTCTGAGTTCGCGCCGGGCCCGCCCCTGGCACCGCCCTTTCTTAAAGCAGGTCCCCGTTGGCTGCGGCCTCCAAACTCAGTTCCTCACCGTTCAGAAGCTGGAAGCACTTTTGGGGGGACATGCTTCAGGGTTGGGGGCGGGTGTGTCGGCAGGGAGGTGCCCTGAACCCACCGTGTGAGGGGACCGGGCGGGCAGGTGCGGAGCTCGGGTCTTGCTTCTCTCCTGGGACCTCGGAACCGGCCCGGGCCCCCGGGCCGGCCTGGCCGGATGGGCAGTGCCATGAGTGCAGGTTTTCCTTGGAGAAAATCTCAGGGGCTCCGTGGCTGGGAGGAAGCTCGGGTGTCGCGCAGGCTTAGAGACTGCGCGGGGGCCCTCCTTCCAGGCTGGTCTCGGCTCCTGTTCTGATGAGTGCTGAGCCCGTGGGTCTTGCTCATAGTGAGCACTTTTGAGAACTTTCTGGAAGGAAGTGGAGGGCCTGGACGCCCAGGGATGTCGAGAGCCAGTGGGACCCGGGGTCCTTCTCCAGGCAGAGCGCTCTGGGCACAGTGTGGCTCTGGGCACAGTGTGGCCCAGTGGGGTATCACAGCTGCCGCAGCTTCCTTCTGTTGCGGCGGCCGCTACATTGTATCAGCTGTGGTTTCCAATCCTGCAGGTGCTTTGCTATAGGACAGAGTGAGGGGCTATGTTGGTTGGCCTTCTGTGGTCAGCGCTGGCCTCGTTCTGTAGCCGTGGGTCGTCTTGGACTCGAAAGTGAGAAGTTTTAGACGGGGGCAGATCAGGGCAGGGCTGGGGGGGGCCTCCCCGCGCCTGCTCCCTCCTGGCGAGGGCGCCACGCTTGCGCCATGTTTCAGTGACCGGCCCTGTGAATATTGTGCTTCACACCTCGTGAGCATCATGCCCACTTGTTGCGGTCACGTCTCCTCAGCAGCCCTGTGGCCAGCTTGTTGCTTTCTTTGTCTTCCCCCCAAAAAGAAGCGAGTGTGAAGTGAAGGGTTGAGAATTTCAGACGGCAGAGATGGAACTGCGCGGTAGCCTGGCGTGTTTTCCTTTTCCTGAAAATGTAAAAAAGTTAATGGGTTTTAAGGCTTTTGTTTTTGTTTTTGTTTTGGAGAGGCTAAATGTTTACTTTTTAAATGGGAAAATAGCTCCGCTGTCCCTGCAGCGTTGAGACTCAGCCAGAGGGTGGCATTTCCGCCAGCTCTGTTGGGGGCGTGTGGATGGAATCACAGCGTCCGGGGCTCAGGGAGGGGCCCAGATCAGCTTGGCTAAATCCCACATCCTCGGCCGGCCGCACTGTGAGGGTTTCCACCCAGTGGTGGGTGGGGGCCTCCGCCCCGGGCGGCCCTTCCCTCGGCCGGGCTCCGGGCTCCGTGTGGGTCCTGGGTCTGATCCAGTGGGGCCGACAGACCCTGTGGAGCCCTCCCTGCGACAGGGAGTCGCCCTCTGCCACGGCCGTCACAGTTGCTGGGGTCCCAGTCCCTGATCCGTACAGGTTCCCGCTGGCCCCCCAGGCCATCGCTGGCTGCTTTCTCCTCGTCTGAAAGTTTGCTTGGTTCGGAGGTGCCCAGGCCTTGTGGCCGGAAGCAGCTGCAGCCTGGGGGGGGCCTGGCTGTTGGAGAGGTGCCCAGGGTAGGAAAGTCCTTGTTACAGAGACCCCGCTGCTGTCCCTGCAGCTCAGGCAGCAGGCGCACCGCCGGGGACGGTCACTGTGCGCACGGCCACACCCTTGCCCCGGTGTGCCCCCCCCGCCCCCGCTGGCATGTACCTGCCCCTGCTGGGCCTGTGCGCGGCTGGCCTTTGCAGCACGAACCTAGACCCTTATCTGACTCACCGCGCGTCCCTGTCCCCTCGTGGGCTTTCCGCTCCGAGCCTGTCTGCGCTCTTTGTATCTAATTCTGTCCTCCGACACATTCTCTCTGTCTCCGTGCGGCGTAAGGCCGCCCCTTTGCGTGCCAGACGTCGGGTAACTGTGTGGCGTCGTCTTGCGGTCGGGGCAGGGGACGTACGCGGGAGGGAATCCTCCGGAGGGGGAGGAGCAATGTGCCTGCTGCGTCCCCGTCCCCGAGGGGTGCGGTGGGGTGCGGTGCCGCGAGCGGGATTCTGCGCCGCCCTCAGGGCCGTCCCCCGGGAAACGGGACTCTGCTCTCAGGCCGAGTCTGTCTCAGAGGCGTGACGTTTTACCTGAGACGTTACGACAGTTCTCGGAGACTTTTGCTTATTACACGTGTTTCCACTGAATGGTGTTTGTGTCGGAGTCTACGGCCTGGAAGTTCTGCCAAAAGAGGATGGAGTTACATGAAGATGAACCCTTTAAGAATGGGGGAGAAAAAGATTTTCTATAATCATTCCACCATGTGGCTGCCAAGTCTGGAAACATAGGAATATGACATAAATGGTGTGTTGATAGAGTAGGAATAAAATTACAGATGATCTGTGCTTCCAGACTTGGGGCTAAGCTGGAGCACATGATACTGGGGATTTTAGAGTAAAACATTAAAGATAACAGAATGGAATAATACTTTCTTATGGGGACATAGAAGTAACCGTTACATCGGGGCGCATCAGCGGGAAAGAGTGCACGTCCTTTGTCCAAGCCTCTGCAGGCCCTTCGCAGAGCCTTCTCCCGGAGGGGGGCCGGGCCGTCCGCGCCGCCGCCGCGCCGCGCCGCCTCGCCTCGCCTCGCCTCACCTGAGTCCGCCTGTCTCAGGCTGGGCTGCCGAGCGGCCGCTGACCAGGTCGTCTTCTACTCAGATGAAGTTTATAACCTTTGTGACCGACTCGGAAGTCGGCAGTAGCGCAGGTGTTGTATTGTTGACCACGCAGGGCAGGTGTGCTTTCTTTAAGCAGCTAAGAGGTGGAACACATGGGCCGTGGGCGCGCGCGCAGGCCGGTGCACGCAGGCCGGTGCACGCCTACAGAAGGGCACTGGGGCGCGGAGGCGAGGGGGCGGCGGCCTAGGAACTCACCGGCGAGAGGACTGCCTCAGAGAGCCAGCGTGGCCGCGGCTTAGTGTTCAGAAGGGACTTTGAGACTGGGCGCCATGTTGTCCGTCGCGGTCACGCGGGAGGCGCAGGCGGTGCATTCAGTGCAGCCCGTCTGGCCCTGGGAAGGCAGCGCCGCCGCCGTCGTCTGGCAGCCTCCATGGGAGCACCCCCGGGTGGGGAACGGAGCGGGGGGCACGGTGCTTTGGGACTGAGATCTTCCGGGACCCAACCGGGGAAGGGAAGTGGTCCTGGCAGACACGCTCTGTTAGCTGGTGACAGAGCCCTGGGACGCGTGTACTCAGGCGGGGTGGGGCCTGGAGGGTGCTGGGGAGCCCGCGAGCCACTGCGGGGCCCGGGATGCCCTTGGCGGGCCAGCCCGCTGAGCTCTCCCTCCACTGACGTGCTCGGTGAAAGCTTGCAAAGAGGAGGCCGTGGCCGGCGCCGACGTTGCCCAGCCGGCGAAGGGACCCCTCGGCGCCGTGAGGGAGTGGCCATGCCGGGCTCCAGGGCCGGCGGGAGGCGTCGCGCTCTTCCTGTGTTCCCAACCGAGAACCCGCGGGCAGGCTCTCCTGTGCCCCCGGGCGGGTGGTCACGAGGTCACATCAGAAACCAGACCGGGTCCTGGCAGTTGGCGTGTTTCTTTGCCGATCGTCTCCGTAAACACGTCTGTTGTGTGCACGCGCTCTTCCGTTGCTGCTGTTGGCGGAGGCCGGCTGGATCCGGAGAGCACGGCCAGTCCCCGCTGGCGTGGCTGAGGCCCCCTGCCGTCGCCGGTCAGCCTCCAGTCCACAGACCCGCGGCTCGCGGAGCACCGCTTAACCGCGCGGTGCCGCAGGGCAGCTCTTCCTGGTTCGTGTTTTGGGTCTCGTTTTCCCGTCGAGTTACCGTCGAGCCTGGGGAGGTCTCTGTGGAGCTGCCATTCCATGAAAATCGGCCTTTTCTTTGGAGAGATGCCGTGGCAGGAAAGGCCACCTCCTTTTTCTAACCAAAGCTGAGCATCCGATGGAGTCAAAGCGGATGTGAGGCCAGGCCTCGTTCCCAGTGTCCCCTGTGGGCGGAGTGTGGGTGGCCGGGCCCCGGGCATGTGGCCCACACAGCGACAGGGGACAGGGACCCGGGCCTGCTGCCCCCAGTCCCCGCGCCCGGCCTGGCCGGGCAGCGTGGCTCCGATCAGCCACTGACAGAGCCGCACCCTGCTGGGCGCGCATCCAGCGGCCCGGAGCCCCGCACCCCGGCGGCCGCCTGCGCGGGCCGCCCCGGGAGCGCGTTGTGGCTCCCCTAGTTCACGCCCGCCCGCAGCCTCGCGTGTGCCTGGCTGTCAGCGCAGCCCGGAGGAAGGCTGGCGGCTGTCACCAGGGCCTGGGGTGTCTCCTCTCAGGGCGCATCAGGTGGACTAATGATGGTTTCCTCTCCCCCGCCCCCGCCCCCGCCCCGGCCATGCCACCCAGGGACGCTCCGGACACAGGCCCGCCCAGGAGACTTCGTCTGCGCCGAGTGCGGGAAGTGCTTCCACCAGCCCAGCCACCTGCGGGCGCACATGCGGGCTCACTCAGGTACGCTGGCCCCGCCCCCCGCCCCCCCCCCGTCCCCCCCAGGGCCTGGCATGGCCTCCGCTCGCAGCCTGCAACCCACTGACGCCTTGGCCCCTGTGGGGTGCGGTGACGCGGCCCCTTCTCGGATGACACGCCAGATCCTCCCAGGCAGCACCTGAAACGGTTTCTTCTTTGCCTGCAGCTGCCGTGTGGTTTACTTTGAGATGAGCCTGTTTGCAGATGTTCCATTTTAATTAGAGCATAGACTCCTCCAAAATGAATATGCTAATGAGCTTGGCTGCCACCGGCACACGGGGACATCAAAGCCGCGTTCAGTGTGACGCGCGCAGGGTGCCCCCTCGCCCCCTCGCCCCCTCGCCCCTGCAGGGCGGCCGGGCCGCGGGGAGCCGTGCGTGGGGGCTGCGGACCCAGCCTCTCCGGCACACGCCGCCCTGATACCGTGGCGGGTGCAGAGCCCCCGTGTCCCTGACCCGGCCCGGGGGGGCCGGAGGGTCCGTGCTCAGACGCGTGGAAGGTCACACGCGAGCCAGTCTGATGTGAAATGACAGGGGCCAGATGCTAAGTGATGCGGGTGGAGGGTCCCTTCCACACGCGGGTAATTAACGTCGGCGCGGGCCCCTCCGGCCCAGCCTCCGCGAAGGGGCCGGAGGCCGGGCAGCCTCTCAGGCCCTCCCAGCGAGTGCGCCCGCAAGTCCGTGGTTTCCGGCCGCAGGCCCAGCGCTGCTGTCCTGCTGTCCTGTCTTTTACGTTTTGTCTTCTTCCTCTTTTTTTCTTTTTTTTTTGGTGGAAGTGCTCAACCCATACAGGCCCTGGCCCCGGGGGTGTCGGCCAGGCCCATGCCCGCCCGCTAACGCACCCCTTGTCCCCACAGTGGCGTTCGAGTCCAGCGGCTCCGAGGTGCTGAAGTGCACGCCGCCTCCGCGGACGCCCCCAAACAAGTAGGTCTCCTGACGGCAGCGCCCGCAGGTTTGGGTGGCAGTGGGGTCGCGGGGGTGCGAGCCACGGTGCTCACCCTGGGGCGGCCGTTCTCCCACCGGACTGACGTGCGGACGCCCCTGTGGACTTGAATGTGCAACCCAGACCTTCAGGACAGCCCCGCCTGGGGACCCAAAAACGCAGAGGCCCATTCCAGCTGCTTCCGGGCTGGTGGGGGCTGCGGGACCCGGGAGAATCTGGTGGGGACCGGAGACCCCAGACCCTCATACATTCGCAGCCCAGGTGTTTTTGCCTCCAAGTTTGCTCTAGAAGAAACGACGCTCGGTCTCGTCAGTCTCGTGTTTTTGTAGTGCTCTGTCAGAAACGTCCGCTGAGTTTGGGGTTCTGTCTGTGTCCCCCATGGCACGCACTGCGCCTCACACCCTGGTGCGTTGGAACACCCGTGTGCGCGCACATGTGTGGCCGTGCGTGTGTGGCCTGAGCCGGGCTGGCGAGCGTCCCCGCGAGGGCTGTGTTTGCAGGGACAGCTCTGATGGTACTTCCTGTCCACCGTGACCTGTGGCTTTTGCTGGTTAGTCACGGGAGGTTCTGGTTCTCTAAGGGAGTTCCGTTTTCCTTAACACGCAGGGAGACGTGTCTGCCAGGGTGACCGCACCCCGTGCTCTCCCGGTTCCTGCCGTCGGGGTTGCTGCGTGGCGTGTGGGAGCCGCTGTAGATTCGAGAGCAGCTCAGCTGCTGCTTGCGGCCAGGACAGGACTTGTGCTGACCGGCCAGGTGGTTTTCGTATGCTTCACTCACGTTAACGAACGGCTGTTGAAGTCAAGTTCTTTTCCTGTGGCCTTGAGGAGCTGTGCCTCGTGGATTTTTGGTTTTTTTGTCTTTTTTTGAAATTATACAACGCTCCTGGCTGGTGTGGCTCAGTGGGTTGATGGATGGCCTGCAAACAGAAAGGTCACTGGTTCGATTCCCGGTCAGGGCACAGGCCTGGGTTGTGGGCCAGGCCCCCAGCAGGGGGCGCGCGAGAGGTGCCAGTCAGTGTTTCTCTTGCACGTCGACGTTTCTCTCCCTCCCTTCCCCCCTCCCAAAGTCAGTAAACGGAACCGTGAAAAAATTCATAGAGCACATGTATTCACGCAGGAGTCATCTGCTGACTCCCGAAGCCGATGGACTGTTACAGATGTACGTGCTAGTGCTGAGTTATGTAATTGAGACGATATTTGGGAATTGAGTTTTCCAATAATCCTTTATTCACTCAGTAGCATTTCTTGAGTACCTGCGACACGCCAGGCTCTGTCCTATGGGGAGACAAGGTAGATCGTTCTCTGGCTTTTACGGTTTTTAGCGTCCGTGGGCAGTTCAGACAAGGAAATGGCCACACTAAGCCGCGGCGAGGGTCCAGGAGCCTGGGCTCCGGAAGGCCGTGCAGGGGCCTGGGGGGCTCCGGAGCCGGGGCCTGGGCTGAAGGTGTGGGTGTCCCCGGGTGGGCACTGGGGAGCCCTGAGCCGGCGGTGACGTCCCCAGGGGAGGGTTTTGAGGCAGAGCCACGCTGGACTCTGGAAATGGACGGGGGTGGGTCCGACGGCCGACGGGGCACCGCTTTGGAGGCGCCGGGGGTCCCAGTGAGGGGCCGCGGCGGCCCCCGGGCTGGGGTGGGGCCAGGAAGACCGGGTGTGTGTGGAAACGCCTGGCAGGCGGCAGGGCTTGGCGGGGGGAGGACATCGCGGGTGGGACGCCCCGTGGGGGTCCGAGGAGGCAGGTTAGGCGACGGGTCTGAGGCGGGGAAGCGTCGCCCCGGGGGCAGTGCGCCGGTTTTCAGCGGCTCTCAGCGCGTGAACCCACTGAAGGCCCGCCCCTCGCCTCCGGCAGAGCTGAACGTCCGTGGCTGAGGGAGCGGGTCGTTGCACAGCCGGCTCTGCCTTTGACCTCGTGCCCGTTAACTCCACCTGCGTCCCCGTCTGTCAAACACAGACGAGAGCGGCCGTAGCTGTCTTCTCGCCGTGAAAATCAAGCGGCGAGGGCGCGCCGCGCCTGGTGCGCGTCAGGTGTTGGCAGTTGGCGGTGATTCTGGAAACGGACGACCGTCCTTCATCGCCGGAGGAGGCCCGAGGGCAGGGCGAGTCCTCGTGCGCGGTGCGCGGCGGTGACCATGCAGACGCCCGCATCGCCCTGGGCATGTGTGCCCGTCACAGCCGCCCCGGGGCCGTCTCAGGGTGCCTTGTCCTCACGTGGTGTCTTCGCCGCCTCGGAAGCTGGCCCTGGGCTGCGGCTGCTCTTGTTGGGCCTTGTTCTGTTTTTCAGGCTGTTTGCCCGTCGCTTCTTACAGGAGGGACATGGAGAAATCCTAGTTTGGGAACCATGTTGTCAGCTTGGCAGCCATGGCTGTGGGCGCCGCTCACGGTCAGAAACCTCGCGTGCGTGGGCGGACGTTCTGTTGACGCGGACACCCCGCTGACCCCTGCCCTGGCTTCGCCGTACTCTCATTTGAGTCGCCGTGTTGGGTAATTGTCGCTGGCCATCCACACCGTGCGCCTTGGCGAAATGGTTCGCGGGCTTGCCGCCCAGGCAGGTGTGTGGAGTCCGACTCCGACCTGGCTGGCCTGAGCCTGCGCCCCCCGGGGAGAGGAAATGGCCCCCTTGGGTGTGTCCGGGGTTGTCGTGCGTGCTCTGGCCGAGCCCGTCTGCCGTGGGGTTTCTCCACGGCGCCCCCCTGTGACGGGGGCGTGGGCGGGGCACCGAGCACACGCGCTGGCCGTAGGTTGGGCAGCAGGGTTTCTGGCGGGAGCTGTGGTCGTGTGGCCTCCGCCCGGGCGTCTCTCCCGTGCGTTCCTGCGGAAGGGCCGGGGCCGGAGGGAGGAGCGGCCTTAGTGCCGCGCGCCTGTCGCGGTGGGGGTGGCTCTGCCGTCCCTGGGCAGAGAGTGCGTGCGGGCAGCAATGCCGATCATAAACGTAGCCGAGGGTCCAAGTGAGGCTCTTCAGTGTGAGGAGCAGTTTGTGTCTGTCGTCTCATGAGAAATTAAAAGCTCAAATTCAGGAAAAACTCATCCTCTTCCCCCCTCCCCTGGTTTGGGGATTTAAAACACCAGGCCAACTTCCCCCGAAATCCGAACACTGGAGTGTTGATGTGTGTAGATTCCTTGCCGGCATTTAAAGACTGTGATTAATAGTTTATTTCTTACTATTCTAAGTGCTATTTTACAACAGTTAAGCTGGAGCAGTGATTCCATTAGCCAAAGTAACAGGAAATGAGAAAACCAGGGCACCCTGGTTTGTCCCGCGTGCGGCCGCAATGTTACGGTCGGGCGACGGGAACTCCCGCGGGGGAGGCGGTGTTAGGTGCTCAGCTCCCAGATCATATTGCAGAATTCAGCTCATTCGCCTCAGCCATCCTCCTCTTCATAGAGCTGAACAAGAGCAGTTCACTTGACTTTGGAGGGAGGCCCCTTCCGTTCTTCCGACCTGGCGGGGAGTGGTGACGGACATCGGGGTGCGTCGCTGGCGTTTTGTTGGATTGGGTGGGAGCTGAACGTCACTCTCTTCAGCCCCCAAACTCAGCCTTGCTCTGGGGTGGCCGCCCGCGGGCAGATCCGCTCTGTACTGCAGAAGTCGGCTCTCCGGAATCCGCCCCCGCCCCCGCGAGCCTTTTCTCCAGCGCTGGCTCAGACACTGGCCGTTCTCCTGCGTGGACCCGTGGCCGCGGCCTGTCGCCCCCTGATTCACAGGAGTGACCGGCTCAGCCGCTTCCGGGGGTGGGGGGGCCGGGAAGGCGCCTTTAAACCACGCCCCGCTGGGGGCTGCGAGCCCCACGGAAGCCGGGCGCCTCTGCTGAGCGGGCCGGGCTGCGCCGTGGTGGCGGCGGCCATGGTCTGTGTTCCTGGGCGTCGTTTGGGAGTCAGTGAGAACGTTGACAGGCAACGCGCAGGTAGAAACCGGAAGGCAGAACTGAGATGTTCTCTTGTCTCCTTTTCTCACGCAGGCGAGAGACCCTTCTGACCCAGACGCCGTCCAGACCGTGCCTCTTGGAAAGGGAACCTAAGGACGCGCTCCCAGCGGACCCCGGCCCTGCGACAGCCATTAGCAGCCCCCTCCTGGATGTCCCAACAGCCTCCCAGCAGTGACCCTGAGCCCCGCCTGAGGAAGGGGGTGGAGCCCGGCCCACCGGCCGCCTCGCCTGGAAGCCGCGCAGGCGTGGAGGCGGCCGGCGCGGCGCTCCCGGCCGGACGCTGAGCAGCCAGTGAGGACGCTGCCCTCCGGGAGGCCACGTCGACGCCCCGTCCGCCTGCCTGTGCCCGCCGCCCTCCGTCCCACGTTTCCTTCGCCGGGCGGTGGCAGCGACGGCGCAGGCTTCTGCGTGACACACGTTGGAGACACTGGAAAAGAGCTTCTTGTGTGTGGGGGACCGAGTGACACCGGGTGGGCAGGACCGCCAGGCGGAGCGGTGAGGGGCAGGGTCGAGCCTGACACAGTGTCACCGCCGGGGCCTCTCCTGCCTCCATGGGAATGAGAGTCGGGTGTGAGTCAGGGAGAGGGCGGCGTGCGGGTGCTGTGCGAGGTGGGGTTCGGCGGGGCCCTGGCCGCTCCCAGCCCAGGGGCCCTTTGCATTCCCATTGCGCGTCCCAGCGCCCCGTGCCCGTGCGTGGCACCTGGGCCGCGGGGACACAGCCCCGGGGGTCCCCGCTGCGCCTCGGAGACAGAGCTAGTTGAACACTAAGAAAAGCAGGCTTCTTTGTTTATTCTCAGGACCTTTTGTAACAGGGCTACATTCTGCAAACTGCTCCCAAAGGAAGGCTGCCCGGCTTAGCGTGTGCTCTGGCCCCCGCGCCTCCCAGGCTGGCCCGCCGAGGCCCGCGGGGGAGCCCCGGGCAGATGGGGGGCCTGCTCGCCGGGGCACTGGTGCTCTGGGGCCCCTCCCCGCGCTCCCCCTCCCCCAGCCCCACCTTGCGCGTCGGTGTGTGTTCCTGGCAGGCCCGGCACCCTCCCCAGGTCGGGCACCCGCCGCAGGTGGAGGTCCCAGGCCCCGTACGGGGGCCGTGTGGCTCTATATACCTCTTCCTCAGTCATGCAAATGCGAGTCGTGGTGGTGGGGAGAAGGCCAGAGCAGAGGATCGTAGACCTTGCAGCGTCCGCAGTGAGAATTCTATTCCGCAGGTAGAAATACTTGCTTTTCCTGGGACCGCAACCCTCTGTATGATGGTAATGTTTCTGAGAGTCTCAGATTTTTGCACATGGGATTTTATGCATTATCAAAAGTTACTGCTGCCTTGAATGGAAATGTTCTGTGAAATTTTTTGCAAAAGCTTTACTAGTTTTTTTTTTTTAATTGTGAAATTTTGTAAAGGCAGGAAATGGATTAAAACGGGCATGCTAAATATATTTTTCAAAAAAGCAATAATTTTACATGTACAGAAATTATCCTTAACCTTTAATGCTGGTGAGAGAGTTTACTTTGTACCGCAGTGGATTAGCGCAGTTTTTGTAGAAAATGGGCTTCTGATACAAAGACTTGTTTGAACACATACACACGTACACACCCCCCTAAAGTGTGGTTTTCTTGTTCTAATGATTTGTTGAATTATTATTATTGTTATTGTTATTAGTTAGTGTTTGGTTCTGGATTCTACTTGTTACTGAACTTAAATTACTTGACGGTTCAGGTTACTTTGCAACACTTGGAAACGATGCAATGTAACTGGCTAGCTTACATATATATCCATATATGCATACATGCACACACGGACACACGTGTGTGGGTATCTAATTTTTTACTTGTTTTCCCTGAGAGTCTTACACCGGGTATGTACCAGAATGACCTGTCTTGTTGGTGTCATTAGGGATGTCCTCGCAAAACTGTTCTGCAAAGTCTTTTTGGAGCAAAGTCGCAGATACATTCCTCTGCTCACCTTCGAAATCACAATGCCTTTCCGCGGACGTCCGCGCGGTCCTCGCGCAAGCGCCCCCGAAGCGATCGTCCCGCCTTTCCTGGCTTTTCCTTCCTCGGCCGCGAGCGGAGGTGGCAGCGGAGGAGCGCGCAGGGGGTTGCGGTTCCGTGCCGTCTGTTTCTCTGTGCGTCAGTTCCTAAAGGAAGTTCCGCGCCCAGAGTGACCGGCGGTGTCCTGCCCGTCCCGCCCCAGAGCGGCTCGCAGGAGCCCCGCGGGCCTTCGGGGCGGACCCATCTTCCCGGAGAGGCCGTCGGGGAGCCTGGCGGGCGGAGGCCTGGCTCCCCGGCCGCGGGAAGAGTGCGCCGCTCGAGCCAGCGCCGACTGCTGGGAGCTGCGTGGAGGGCGGGTGCCGGGCTCTCGCTTAACTATGCAGACGGTGCCCCCACCCCCGCGACCGCCACCCCCCGAACGCGCTGTTCCCGGGCCTGCCTGCGCTTCCTCCTTCGCTGATCATCAGTATTGTATTGGTTGTGAATGCCTTTCTGTCAGTTCTGCCCTCGTATTTAATATGATTTGTGTTTTCTTATTTATTTAGCCGATGTGTTTGATTTGCTTTTTCCGAATGACGACTTCCGTGTGATCTCTCCTGTAAGTCACCTTCCGACCGCTCCAGGCTTCCTACTACCTCTACCGATCTGCTGTTTCCTTCTGCTTCCCAGGAGTTTTACAGTGTTGGCGTCTCATGTAACTTAGACAATAAAGGGTTTGGTTGTCCACCCGCAGCTTCTCCGTGTGTGTCCCGGCCCCGCCGGCCGCCCCTGGCGAGGCCCTGGCGAGGCCCTGCCGCGGCCCCGCTCGCCGCCGCTTCACCGCGAAGGCCGCATCACCACCCCGGGACGCGCTCCCGGCGGGCTCTCGGTTCCCCACCCCGCCCCTCATCGGAAGAAGGAACGCCTGCATTCTCCGAAGAGCCGGCTGCGCGGCAGCGTCTCTGGGAAGCGGTCCCCTGCCCTGTCCCTTCTCTGGTTGCCGGGGGCGGGGCGGGGGAGGGGCGACGGGCCGTTAGAGGTGGAGAGAGTTCACCTTGCTCAAAACACGACAAATTTTCAAGCCAAATGGGTTTTGCCCTTTTGGTTTTGAAAAGTATTAAATGCTTTAAGGCCCCCCCGCCCCCCATAGTTATTTATTTCTTACACGCGGGGGCACACCGGCTCCTGAGGGAAGGGAGGTGGGCTCTGCACAGCTCGGCCACGCGGCTGGGGTCTCGACGTTCCGCAGGCGGCTGCGCACGGCCCTCGCACGCCGGGCCCGGTGACCCAGCCCCTGCGCGGGCGGGGCGGCAGGGGGCGGCAGGGAGCGGGGTTGCCTCCGCAGGGCGCCGGCTGCAGAGCGCAGCTCAGGGGACGAGTGTCTTGTGCGTCACAGCGAGTGCGCTCCCAGCATCGCGTGGCCGCCAGGCGGGTTCTCGACCCCCATTCCTTCTTGAAGAACAAGCCTCCGCCCCCGCCCTAGAGGCTGCAGGGACCCACGCAGAGGGGCGGCGCCTTCGCTCCACCTCTCGCTCCGAAGCGGCCGCCTGCCGGGCGCGCTGCAGGCCGGTGAGCTCTGCTGCGTCTGTCCTGGGCGCTCAGGTCGCTGGGCCGGGGCGGGGCGGGGCGGGGCGGGGGTCCCGGGCAGGCGGAGCCCGCGGGCCCTGTGACAGGGAGGACGCGCATTCTTCACCAGTTTTGTCAATTCTACTCTGAGGCAGGAAAATGCAAAAACCATAGAATTTGTATTTCTTTTTTTAAGATACAATTTATAACATTATATTTTGTACTCTTTATATTAGAATTTGTAACTAGATTGATGTATTTAACTCTATTTCTGAAAAAGAATTCAATGTTTCAGTTGTGTGATAAAATATTTAGATAAAGCATATTCATTCTATTGGAATTTGGAATCAATAAAAACATCTTGGAGTTCCTGAGATGCGTAAGACCTTCTTCCGCGTGTCAGGAGCGGCTCGCGCCCTTCGACGGCCTTTCGCGCTCCGGGGTTGAATGCCGCGCTGGCCGACCGCGGGGCGGGCGGGATGGGTCGCGGTCGGTCTGTATTTAAGCCGAAGTGCGTTCAGGATGGCTCACGAGAGAGCGCACCGAGAAAGGTGCCACAGGGGCCAAAACGCTTCTTGAAAGTCTGTCTGGGCTGCAGGACAGACACACGCTTGGAAAACTCCTCGGGAGGGCGGCTCTGTTTCCCATTTCGCCCAGCCCACCCTGTGCGCCCGCACCCCGACCCCGCTGAAAAAGCCGCAGCAAAACTGCGGGGACGCAGAGGGGAGCGCGCTGTCGTTGCCGCTGTCTGCTGATCGGAGAGCGGGCAGAAACGAACTACCGATTTCAGTTTAAATAAATAGAATGTATTGAGAAGTTAAATGTGATGGCTATGTCTCCGCTGGCAGAAGAAAGCAGGGGCAAGGTAAGTCCTTGGACGTGGCTTCCCGGTGGTTCCGGGGAGGAGGGGGGGTCTGGGCGCGCGGCTCGTGCGCTCAGGGGCTGGCGGGGGCGCCGGGGGGGGCGGGGGCCGCGCTCCCAGGCAGAGGCGGTGTCCGACGGCCTGGTGCTGCGTGGACCTCGGAACCGGACGTCCTCGGCGGGATGCTGCGGCTCAGGGCATCGAGAACCTCGGCCTGGGGCGCTGCCGACCCTGAGGAGGAAGTGGCGACGCCAGGCCCTGCAGCGGAAGTGCTGGTAGCTCCTGTGGGGTGAGGAGCCCCCGGCCCAGGTCTCCGTGGGTCACCTGGCAGGGGTTCCTGTGATGGTCACGTGTTCAGGCCCCGGACAGACCCCTTCCCAGTTCCGGGGGTCCTACGAGGAACTGCACACCCCCCAGGAAAGCCCGACCCACCCCGTGTGCCCACGGGTCCCCTTGGTGGGCTCCGAAGCTCCTGCCGGGCTCCGAGGACCCCTTGGCTGCGGGGGATTGGGAGGGAGGCGGCGACCAGATGTCACCATGCCTGTGGCTTGTGGCGCTGGGTGCAAGAGCGGGGCGTGGTCGTGGGCGGCCACACGCAAACCGCACGGGCAGCCTCCTCCTCACTGTCCTGCTGGTGGAAGCCAGCGGCGGCATTTCCCGCCAGATTTCACGTGCGCTGTTCGCATCTCCCTTCTTACCT